ACACGTCCTGTTCTCTGTAGTCTTCATTGCTCTTGCTGATGCAATGCTCYGGAAATAATAGAGTCCCTCTCGCTGCTCACCCGTTCCAATCAGCATCCTCGTAGTGTAGTCCTGTATCACACAGAATTTATTAGTGAACTGAACAATACAACTCGACTCCTCAATCAATTGCGATACAGAAATTAAATTGCAATTCAAACTAGGCACATATAAAACATTAGTCAGTTTCAGATGATCGTCTAGTGCAACTGTGCCTTTTTTCTCTGCTATTGTCGCTTTCCCATTTGGTAGCCCGATAGAGCATGGAATGACATCTTTTATGTCTCTCATCGACTCGAGGCTTCCTGTCATATGATGAGAGACCCCTGTGTCTATTATCCACTCTGACAATTTTTGCTTACCACTTAGTCGTTGACTCCCCTCTTTCTGTGTGTTCAAAAGGTTGTGTAACATGGTCCACTGCTCACTACTTAGTCCATTTAACCTAGTCTTGGCTGCATCAATTGATTCTCCTTGAGACGCATTGCCTTGCGCAGAGACTTTGGCTGTATTGGCCCTGACTTGGCCGCCATGACCTTTTCCTCCTGCCCCTGCTCCTTGTTTCTGTCCACCACGCCCACGGCCTGCTCCATGAGTATTATTTTTCGGCCGATCACCCCACCATTCAGGGTAGCCGATTAGTTGGAAACAATACTCTCCATCGTGGCCTGCCTTGTTGCAGTGAGTACATACTACGTTCTTGTCTCTACCTTCGCTTTGCCTCTTCACTGTGTGGGCTGCGAAGGCCACAACTTCAGTTTTCTCTTCCTTTGCGCGGGTCATGGTTTGAACTTGCTCCTCCTGAATCACTATGGTTGAACGCAAATTAGGTTCAATCGTATTCAGAATCCATGACACAAGCATGGAATTCACCATCCACCAATCTTCCAATTTCACCGAATCGTCCGAAGGTTGTTTCACCGATCCATCGATGAAGCTGAATTTCTTCTTGGCTTGCAACGCCGTTCTTATTGCTCGAGCCCATTCATCATAGTTGTCGCCTCTAAGCTGGATCTGTGTGATAATGCTACCTGGATTGTCATTGGTTGATAGAAGGTAGGGCAAGATCACGTTGTTTGTCAATTGACCACCGTCTGTTTTCAGCCATACCGACTACAGTGTCTGAAAACCTACAATCGGCGRCAGAATCGCCACAAAAGCTTACTGCCGACTGTCATCTCTACAGCTAAAAGCAGCACCCACATAAATCAAGGGGGTGTTTGGAATCATTGTGTGTTTATCTAAAAGCAATTTTTGAGAAAATGTTTTTTCATGGTACTGTTTAGTTTGAGAAAAGGGGGATTTGTGATTTTTGAGAAAATGTGTTTTCATGGCATTGTTTCTTTTGAGAAAATGGCTAACCAAACACTAACAGCATATGTTGATGCATTTTTTGCCATTTTCTCAAAATCTGATGTGGTGCCATTTTTCCAACACCACCCAAATAATTTCCTCATGATGAGCTCTTCACAAAGCTTACTTCGCACCAACCTTGCAAAGCGTACTTCGCACCAACCTTGCAGTCTCATCCTACCATGAATTAAGAGCATCTCCCCGTGAATAACAATACAAAGTAAGGGATGTTTCTGATGTGCGGCTGGAACATATGATGAGGTTGGTGTGAGTAGATCGAGAGGATAACTATGTATATATATATACAAAGTGAAAGTATATATATAAAAAAGGTAAGAATGAAAAGGCCTAGTGGGCAGGATTAACTATGTATAAAAGGGTAGAACTGCCCACCAGAGAACGTGCCCCAAAAATGCCCCACATGCACATCATTGAGAATATCTTCGGACTTATTATAGGGAGATGTTCTTAATACACGATTGGGATGTACCGTGGGATTTTTGAAGCGGATCCTATGGGGGGCAGATGTGACTTCAAAACTTACATGAACCACTACTTCCACATGGAACCACTGCCCAAGGTGGATAACAATTGAATGATAAAATCAGAATTGTTTAATAAGTGTTATTGTTGTATTAATCAGTTTGTTTTCCTTGCCATCTCAAATCCCACCAACCCATCTTCAAAACTTTACACCAGCCACAGCCTAAGGGAAACCCATCCACTATCAATGACTTGTTCACTTTAGGCTAAAAGACAAAACACTTATTTTAGGCTGGGACCATATCAATAAGCCCTTATTTATATTTGGGAAATAAACTTATTCTAATTAAGAAACCCAAATTTTAACTTTATCTTTTAAGTACTTATTTAATAAGTGTTTATTTTCTTTCTGGCCTATCTTAACTGACAACATTATTTTGAAAATACCTATATTACTTCTGTTTGAAATTAAGTATTTCTTTTTATCAAACATTCATAAGTACTTATTACTTAGAATAAGCACTTATTTTTTAAATAAATACTCCCAAATTTGATGACGCCATTCGTGCAATCTGATTCATCCGGCGGTGCATGCTGGGCGGCTGCCAATTGTAGGCATTGCAAAATAACAAAAAAAAAGGCAGATGTAAAAGGAATACATGTCATCTTCCTCTACTACTTGTTAATTCATTCCATATCTGTTGACCACCCACGCACAGCCAGTGGGTTCCCAACTGTAACCAAGTGGAAGTCAAATATTTTAGAGAGGCAGATCAAACTTGGGTTGGGCCAAACCAAACCCAAAAAGAAAAATTGTGTCTTTCATCATCTTCTTCGCATGGACTTTGCTCTGAAAAAGCTTATTTCATCATCAGCTCATGCCCTTTAACCCCTTCACCACTTACTCTACAGTTGTGGTTATTTGGGCACTAATACATTATATTATTGATGGGTCCCAACTAAAGAAATCGTGTATGCCAAAAATCAACATATGATCAAACGAATTTTTTTTTTTTTTTTTTATTGGCTTTGATTTGTGGTATAAACCATAGAGAATCTGTTAAATGGGTTCTAGCCACTGATGCCAAAATCACAATAGAAAAGCTAAAAATCAATGGCTAAAATAAACAGCTCCTGAAACAACCTTATTTCAGGTGACCTTTTCCTAGAACTCCTTTTCTAAAAGAAGGAACAACTAATGTTGTGCCTTCTTTAGCATTGAATAATTTAACTAATATGCTATGTGGCTGGCTATCATACCTTTTTTCTTCTGGGGGAGGGGGATTAGATGGGATACAGGGGAAATATTTAGTTTAATGTCTTGATGGGTGAAGCCTCTTGAGAGCACCCACCAAGTAAATAGATTCAGAGAAGTACAAGCTTCTCCATCGTGACTGTCCCTGACCACGAGGAACAATGCAAAGGACCTGGTATTGTGCAATAGTTGGGGATGCGGATTACTTGGTGCAATAGTTGGATTGTTTTATTGAGACCTGAGTGACTAGGGTTCAAATCTTGAAAACAAGCCTGTCTGTATAAATAAGGCGTAAGGGTAATGCTGCTGCATATATTTATCCCTCTCTAGACCCACGGGGCCTTGTGCACTGGGCTGCCCATATCGATCCTGACTTTTGAAATTTCAATTCTTCTTATTTGTAAGCAGGGTTTTTAAAACTGAATCGGACAATGAACTGGTCAGGGTCCAATTCTYGGGTCAAATGGTCAAATGTTTAAACTGAACGAATGACTCATTCTAACAAAAGAAAAAAAAAAGAAGTAAAAAAAGGCCAAAACCATTGAATGGTTCGAACGATTCAACCATCTAGATCAGTGATTTACTGACCAAATCAATGATTTTTGGTGAAATAACGATTCTAGGGTAAAACGGAACCGATTACCTATTCTCGGTTTTTCCAGTCTCACTATCCAGTCTGGTCCGATTTTAAAAATCATATTTGTAAGTGAAAAGTTGTAGTAATGGAAGAAGGGAAACCTAAAAGAAAGTAGTATCAAATCCAAGAAAAAAGATAAAGGAATATTCATTTAGCAGCCGACCAAGAATAACATAAAAGAAAGATGGGAAGTTGTGAACAACTTAGCTCATTTGCCGAGTGATATAAACTTATAAAGTCCCACCCCACCCCACGAGTTAGGTTGATTTTAGCCCACAAAAAGAAAGACATTATGGATTGAACGTGGACAGATACATACTACCAGCAAAAGTGGGACAAAGCGGGATGATTCAACAAGAGAAAAAAAAAAAAAAAGGAAAAGAAACCACACACACAGTTTGAGGCTTGAGGGTCCTCAAAAGACAGAAGCCATTCATGGGTGTTGAACTGTTGTGAGTTCATTGGCCCAAGGGTTCTCCCCATCTGGCCATGTGCATCCAAGGAATGGTGGAGCAGAAATACAGATTGCTGACTCAGCACAGGATTCTGTATCCCACATCAGCATCATGATGGCACCTTGGCATAGTAGTAGCATAATAGCAATGCCTTGTGACTTGTGAAAGGAGAGTTTTACTGAGTTAAAAGAGGCAAGTAAATGGTTCTAGTCACTGGGTGGGTCCAGCTTTATGATGGTTTTGGTATGCCATCAGTTGTTATTTCATCACCACTCAGCAGAGACATAACAGGTGCTGACTCAACAGCTGTGCTGCTGCTTGGCACAGTCAGAGCTCTCAGAAGTCAGGACTCAGGACGGAAGTGAGACTTCAAATTTGAAACTTGAAATGAACGGCTGAAAGCCAAACATGAAAGAGTCGCTTTCAAAGTGCAAGTTGGACCCGGTCTTCGGTCCAATTCCCAGTGCAGGGAAGTCCAACGATTTCAGGGGAGTACACATGCAGAGAAACCTGAAAATATTACAAGCTTTGTTTGTTTATGGGGGTTTGAGGCTCTAACCAGCAAGCTCTGAGCATTGGTTGCCCTCCCAATGCTTTATTATTTTTTTTTATCTGAGTTCTTTCTGAGTCTGACCCATCTTTGGCTTCTGTGCTGTGACAACCCACGTTAAAAGATAACCAAAGATTAAAATGCACTATGGCACGCATAAAAACAAAAAGAAATTGCCAAACCCAACAAAGAAAATGCAATCAAATATAAATTATTGCACCCTTCACCCCTCTGCTACTCCTTTCCAAGCACTGCTTCATTATTTTATATTTCAAATACTAATGGATCGAGCCCAGGAATTAGATTCCCTGTCCCTAGAAATTTTACAGTTTCACTAGAGAGAGAGAGACAGAGAGAGAGAATAGTTTTGTAAGGCTGCTGAAGAGAAGGGTTCTCTCTTTTATCCTTATGCCTGAACTGGAAGAAAGTTGTAGGTAGATTCTGTAGTATTTTGGTTTGTCTGATGATGGATCTTTTATGATGTATTCTTGCTTATCATCTTTGCTTCTGCATCATGGGGATCAAGTAGAGAAACCATTGGTCATTTCTTTGTTCCTTGAACTAGATTTCCGCGAACTTGTGACCTTCATCCTTATGTCAACTTGAGTCTTTGAGGAAGAGTATCGGGTTGGTCATTGGTGTGTGCCCCATTTGGGAAATGTGCTTTGTTTTTGTTTCTCCACTCAGGATCTTCTTCCGTGGCTGAAAAAGTTTTTGGCTTTGAACTTTTGAATCTGAGAGGCCCACAAGCTATCTGCACATAAAATCATTAAATGTTTCTTCTTTTGGCTCTTCTCCTGTAGTCATTTTTTACATTGGTCTTTCATCAGATTCACCATTTTGTGCAATTACCAACATGAACTACAGCAAGTTTGTAAGTTTTCTTGTTGGTCTTCTGGGAAATGACTGGTTTCAACAGCTTTGCTCTTGAGAATCCATTAGTAGGACTATATGGCATCCATTCTTCGACAGGAAATGAAGATTTAATCTATTCTAGGATTCTGGTTTTTCAGCATTGTTTGAATTTTCGAGATATTACAACTGCCACCAAGCTTGTATTTTCTTCATGGATGCAGCATCACCATCTCAACTTCCTCAAGAGTCATTATCTCTAGATATCTTAGCTTTGGAGGAAGAGAGTTCTGTAGTTCCAACTAAGCCTCTGACCATCAGGACATCAAGTTCCTGCAGCAGCCAATCGAGTAGTAAGAAATCTCTCCCTGTATCTCCTTCCGATTTGCTTTCACCATGCATAAAGAGCTCAATTGAATCATCCCCATTGAATTCCCCATCCCTCATCTCTCCACCATCATCAGCATTCGTTTCAGCTTTACAATCACCTTACATATCTCCAAGGGCCTTGCTTCCACCGCCCCCAGAAAACGCGACTCCATCTACTACACCAGAAAACGTGACTCCATCTACTACGCCAGAAAACCCAACTCCAGCAACACATCCATCTCCTCCGGTTTCTTACTGTGGCTCTGTATCTGATGATATCCCAAGCTCTTCCTACACCCCTCCACCAGAAAGATTGGATTTCTGCGATGACCCATCTGACCAAAAGCTTAAATTTGTGACCTGTGCTCCAGTTCCTGACACTGCACCTCCCCGAATCTCATTTACCTTCCCTGTCCCTCGGATTTCCTTTGCAAAAACCTCAGTTTCTAGCTCTCCCAATGCAAAACTCAGGAGCTGTGATGTTTATATAGGCTTTCATGGCCAGAATTCCAATCTGATACGCTTCTGTAAGTGGCTTAAATCAGAGCTTGAGCTCCAGGGAATAGCTTGTTTTGTTGCAGACAGAGCTAAATATTCAAATACTCAGAGCCATGAGATTGCTGATAGAATTATTTGCTCAGCCACTTATGGTGTTGTGGTTGTCACGAGTTCAAGCTTTCTCAATCGTCTCAGCATTGAGGAGATCAGATTCTTCACCCAGAAGAAGAACCTGGTCCCCTTGTTGTTTGATACGGACCCTACTGAGATTGCTGGCCTTCTCAATCGTAGTTCAGATGATAAGGAGTGGAAAGAAGTAATTGACAGCTTGATAAAATCACATGAATTCAAGCTGGAGGCGAATGAGAGTAATTGGAGAAGTTGTGTATCTAGAGCTGCTGGGATTTTAAGTGCAAAGCTCGGCAGGAAGAGTGTTGCTGAGAAGGAGATGGAATATCTTGAAGAGTTCCCATTCCCAAGAAACAGATACTTTTTAGGAAGAGAGAAGGAGATGATGGAGATTGAGACTGCGTTTTTTGGATGTGGGGATTCTTTTGATCATGACTGTTCCAAGCCAATTATGAAAGGAGAATCAGATGGGGTCTCAGAAGGCTTTGCAGATGAGGAAAGTGACACTCTCAGAACCAGAGGAGGAGGATACATTAATTTGGAGTTGAGGAAGTGCAAGGAACCTAAGTTAGAAGCATGGATTGAACCGGTAATGGCAAAAAGTCCATCTAAGAGGGCAAAACATAAGAAATCAAAGAGTGGGAACAATAAAAGTCTCAGTTCTGTGGTCTGTATTAATGGTGTTTCAGGTATCGGAAAGACAGAGCTGGCATTGGAGTTTGCTTACAGGTATTCACAGAGATACAAGAGGGTGCTCTGGATAGGTGGAGAAGCTCGGTATTTCAGGCAGAACATATTGAACCTATCAATTATTCTGGGGTTGGACGTGAGTGCAGAAGCAGAGAAAGAAAGAGGGAGGATCCGAAGCTTTGAGGAACAAGAATTTGAAGCATTTCAGAGAGTTAAGAAAGAGCTGTTTCGAGACATGCCATATTTACTCATCATTGATAATCTAGAAACTGAGAAGGAATGGTGGGAAAGGAAGGATCTGCATGACTTTATCCCAAGGAATACTGGGGCATCCCATGTGATTGTCACAACTCGGCTCTCAAAGGTGATGAACTTTGATCCAATGCCACTCCAACCATTGTCTTTGCCTGATGCAATGATTTTGATCAGAGGAAGGCGAAAGAAAGACTATCCAAATGAAGAGTTGGAGTTTCTTAGGAAGTTCATTGACAGATTGGGAAGCTCAAGCTTTGGATTGTGGATAATTGGGTCACTACTCTCTGAGATCTCAATTTCTCCATCATCTCTCTTCGAAGCTGTGAACCAGGCATCAATTGATGAATGTGTCTCCTGTACTTCTTTGAGTGCTGGGGATGAACAATTCTTCAAGAATAATACTTTCCTAATGATGATTTTGGGTTTTTGTACTGCTGTCTTAGCCCAAACCAATGGGACAGGGAGTCCCCTATCTTTGAGAATGCTTCTTGCTGGTGCTTGGTTTGCCCCAGCACCCATTTCAGTGACTCTACTTGCTGCTGCTGCTAAGAAGATTACTGTTACTGGAAATGGGTTTGAGCAGTGGAAGGAACGTCTAAGACTCGCCTTATGTTGCTGCATAGCACCCCAAACTCGATGTGAAACAGAATCAGCTCTCCTTCTGGTAAAACTAGGCTTGGCAAGAAGAACAAATAGACAGCCTGGATGCTGGATTCAGTTCCATCCCATCACTGAAATATTTATGAGAAGAAAAGGAGGCTCAATTGCTGCCAAGGCTGCAGTTCAAGGTGTGAAAAAAATTGCAAACCCAGCAATGAACTCTGACCACCTGTGGGCTTCTGTATTCCTTGTATTTGGGTTCAAATCTGAGCCCCCACTTGTCCAGTTGAAGGCAATTGATATGGTTCTCTTTATAAAGAGGACTGCTCTTCCTCTTGCAATCCGGGCCTTCACAGTTTTCTCACGCTGCAATTCAGCATTGGAGTTACTGAAGGTGTGCACCAATGTACTTGAGGAGATCGAGAAATCATTCGTGTCTCAGATACAACATTGGCATCATGGTTCACTTTGCTGGAGGAAGAAATTCCAGTCTAACCAAAGGGTAGATGAATATGTATGGCAAGATGTTACACTGTTGAAGGCTACATTGCTTGAGACCAGAGCCAAGTTGCTATTGAGAGGTGGACATTTTGACAGTGGTGAGGAACTGTGTAGGACTTGTATTAGCATCAGGACGGTGATGCTTGGTCATGACCACTCCCAGACCTTGGCAGCTCAGGAAACACTTGCCAAGTTGGTAAGATTCAGAAGTAAGATATGAAACTCTGTTTCCATTAGTAAAAGAAGGAAAGGTCATAAAGCAAAAGAGGGCCTAGTTTCCATGGTTTTGTCCCTTTTATTGGCAAGCAGCTCTCTGGTTTTGTTTACACTGAGAAGATTAGTTACATATTGGAAAATTTTTCCATGCTCTTACTTTACAATACATGAGGTGCTGCTCATTTCTATTTTGGCTTTCCTGATAATTGTACCACTAAAATTGAAAAGCCAAATACTTTGAGTTGATATTGGGTACTCTAGCAGAAAAATAATATATCTATATCACCCTCTTCCACATGTGAGAAGCTCATTTTGGTAAATGGCAGTTTTTTTTTTTTTTTTATTGCTTTCATTCTTAAAAGCCAAGACTTTGAGTTGGTAGCTAAACTAAAAATGTATCTATCTTCATTAAGCGTTCAATTTGGAGTATTGGGTTACCTAAGCCAAGACTTTGAGTTCCATGCTCTCCTGACTTAATATGGAATATGGATATCTGAATATATATATATATATATATATATATATATATATCTCCATCATACCAGTCTGATGTCTGTAACTCTGAATGGTGTTGTCGAGGAAAAGATAAACATATTGAACTTGGAGGGTTGCAATTGATCACAATGGATCATCAGCATGATTCTTGGAACATGCTTTTTCTCTTCATCCAGTAGCAGTAAGTTCTCTATCAAACACTCGTAAAAAGGGTCTCTGGAAGCACGTAAGAAAGTAGTGCAATTTCAGCTGTATCTGCATGAATTTGAACCACCAAATACCAGCATCATTATAATAAAACAGAAGACACTGATTAATGGCCTGGATCTGGAATGCAACAGGGATGGGGCGGCAGTATGCAGTAAATGAATAAAGAAGCTAAACCCAACTTAGCAGGGAGCCAGGGAGAGGTCTTGGACATTGACTACACAAGTTGAATATGACTGCTCCCCACCCCCAACCCCAACAGGCTACAGTCAAATGGAGTCGTATCTGCACCTCCTGGCACAGGTCAGCTAATGATGCCTAATGGGTCATCCTCATCCAACATCAGTCATGAGCATCCAAATGGATGAAACACATTTTTCATTTTACTTGCACAGAACGCCCCAGTGGAGTGAGCTGAAAAGTGAAAATTAAAACCAGAGCTCTGCAGCAGACTTGATTATTTGTCCCTTCCCTTGTAAACTTCCTGCTTCACCATTTGATACTTGATAGTTGATACATCTCACCTCTTGCTCACCCAAAAGATAAGGGAGAATAGAAAAGGAATTTTGGTACAGAAACATTCTGCACTTGTTCAATTTAAATTTCAAATTGAGGTCAAACAAGGTCCAAACAATATTCACTAACAACAGAGAATAAACCATCTAGGGAAGAGAACCCCTCCCTCCCACCTGGTTGATGTAAACCCATTGCCCAAAAAGACAACAATTGGTTGTACTTGATCACGCAATGACGCAGAGTGGGTTTGGTATCAGTCCAACAAGGATATTAGAGTTTAGACACCCAATACTCATTTTGAACTTCTACTTTGAAGCAGCATCCATGACAACCAGATATGCGATATCCTCGTTTTGAGCTCTAACGATTTGGATCGTCAGGACTGAACTCCACCTCCACGTACACTAATAAGTCATTAATTTATTCATTCTCAGAAATAAACCCCACCCAGTAAAGAAACCAAGAGTCCAAGAACTCAACTGAGCTTAAATCCAACAAAGAATTGACAATCCACATTAAAGATCAAACAAAGCAAAACACATTACATGTCACAAGACTCACAACCACACTTTCTCCCCGACTCTGTTTCTGATAAATAATAGTTAAATACATACATAGTTACATACTATAGAAGCAAAACAGAAAACATTCTCAATACAAAAAGCCGAAACCCACAACAAATGTCACACACAAACACTCACCCAGAGATTCTCAGTTAAAACTAGATGAAAAAAAAGGGTATCCACCAACTCTCCCAATTAAATGAGGGGAAAGAATATCGATGACAACATTAAAATCCTCAGAGAAAAAAAAGCATATACTGTTCGTCTGTTCCTACTCCTTTTAACGCACATTTCTATGGTCTCAACATATGATCCCACCGGTCTGAACTCGGAGAAGATCCAGGCCTGATCAAACCCTGTGACATGGCCTCGTTCTCGTCCAAAAACAGCCCATCTGGGTTCCTGAAAACCCCGTGTACGGCGGAGATTACGAGCCCAGTCCCAATCCCCATGATCATATTCCCAGCAACCCCCGTAAACCAAATCGCTACTACAGACACCAAGACCAATCCCACCAATACCGCCCGATCGCCCACGTGGTGGCCCCACAAGAACAATGGATCCTCCCGGAACAGGTAGAGCACCAGCCAAAGGCCGAAGATCGCCGCGATCAGAAGCAGGTACAGAGGAGTCCCGATGAGGGAGAGGAGCGCACACGTTAGCACGAGCAGGGCGTAATTCAAGCGGAAGTGAACGGCGTTCTTGCGGAGGCGGTCGCCGGCGTGGGCTAGTGAGTGTGGGCGGTTGAAGGTGTCGGGGGAGATGAACTCTGGCCAGGGGCGGCGCTGGGAGATGAAGGAGAAGAGGTTGTGGAGAGATCGGGAAATGACGTCATTGCCGGATATGGGGATTGTTGTGTAGGTGGCGGTGGCGGAACTAGGGATTTGGGGTTGCATGGCTAGTTGCCTTGGGGTTGTTTGACCAGTTTGACCCAACTAACCTTCTAGGGGTTGGAACTCGGCGGACTGTTTGGTGGCTCTTATTTAACTACTAACACAAACATAACTATTGTTTTTTTTTTTCTCTTTAAGGGGTTTGGTTTTTATTTTCTGAAAAATGGCCCCTTCACTTTTCTCCGTTTCTTTTAAACATAATATAAACTAACTTCTTATAACCTACAGAGCAAACCCCCTATAAGAACATTATTTGGGTAAAATGTTAAAAGTTAAAACCTTCCTAAGGTTTCATTTTAACAAAAGCCTTCGAAAAATAAGTGCTTATTTGGCTTAGGCCATGTTTTGGGAGTGCTTATTCAAAATAAGTGCTTATTTGGGTTGGAAGTACATCATTAAGCACTTATTGGAGTTTGGGAAATAAATGCTTATCTTAAAAATAAGGGTATTTTTAAGCTCAAATTTCCAACTTTTTTTAAGTGCTTATACAATAAGCATTTATTCAAATTTTAGTTGAATTTTAAAATATCACTTATAAAACTATCCCTACTTGAATGTTATACAAGTACTTTTGTAAAAGTACTTTCGTAAAAGTGCTTTCATAAAAATGCTTTTGTAAAAGTACTTTAATAAAAGTGCTTTCATAAAAGTACTTTTATAAAAACGCTTTTGTAAAATTTGAAAGAAAATGAATGACAAAATAGTCACAAATGCTTATTTAAGTGCTTATTGGAGAAAAGGACTACCAAACACCCAATACGAAATAATAAGCATATGAAAAAGTTAGGCCAAATGCACTTATTTGAATAAGCACTCCCAAACATGGCCCTAGTTTGGTACCTAAAAAACATTATTGTCTCAATAATAGAGAATCAAAAGTTACAAATTTGCCTCTACTACTTATTAAGGCATCTTTCAATATAATCAAAATGCCAAATTTACCCATTTAGACTTCACTCATCATAATGAATTTACAAAATGAAATTACTTTACTCTTTCTAACTTGACCTAGGAAATTTTTTAGCTAAAAATTAGAAGTTCTTTTGTAGGAATGGCAAGGGGCGGATTTGGGGTGGGGCACCCCCTCCCCCTCCCTGCCCTGGTGGTGGGGCGGGTTCAGGGCGGGGCATCCATTCCCCATCGAGGACGGGTAAACCGTGAATTTTCCCCGCTCCAAGGCAACTTCTTAAAAATTATTTATTTCATGGACAATTTACACATATAACATAGGAAGTTGGGGGTATTTTAGGAATTAAATTATAATACTTTGGGGGTACTTTAAAAATGGAATTATGGGATTCTAGGATTTTAAGAATTTAGGGAAATTGCCATCCCTATTCTTTTGGGAGTATTTTAGTAAAACTTCATTTGAATTGATTAGTAGTTCTATTGGAAGTATTTTAGTAAATCTCCATCTGAATTGAAAGACACAAGGGTAAAATGGGTATTTTTAAAAAACTAATGCATTAGGTCAATGTTTTCTAATTGGGAGAATGATGAAAGGGAGATTATGTTAGATATTTCAAAACTATAGAGGAGGTTTTTGTTAAAATGAAATTTTAGGGGTGGTTTTTATATTTTACCCTTAATAGAAATTGTCTACTTCTATGAAGAGGAAATCCATACTCTCTTAGGTGATTTCACCCAGTGTTTTAAAAGGCATGGAAAGCATACACTTAGAGGCACCCCCAAAGTGCCTTAAGGCATATGCCAGAGGTGCTACCTCTAAGGCATTCTAGAGGCATATGCCTCATGCCTCATGCACACCTCATGTAAAAAGATAGAAAAAAGAAAAAAAAAAGGTAAAAAGAAAAAGGAAAGAAAATGAAAGAAAAAGAAAAAGAGAAGAGAAGAAAAAAAGAGAAAAATAAAGAAAAATGAGATTCTTTTACCTTTTCTTCCTCTTCATCCCCCCTCCTCTTAAAGAGGCTTACACCTCCTTGTGTTCAGGAGGTTTACGCCTCTTACGTTCTGAACTATGTCTTACGCCTCTAGGTAGTGGAATGCTATGTATCACAACTCCGTATTTTAAAACATTGGTTTCACCTTCTTTGTTCATTGTTTTTCGCCTCAACAACTTTAGAAAATACTTGGCTTAGAAAAAAGAAGAACAAAAGAGAAAAAAAAAAAGAAGAAGAGAATAAAGAGTATTAAGAAGGGGCAAGATCCAAAAGGCATCCCAAACAGGGTGCAAATGCAAAGTTCTACAAATAATGTCAACCAAGTGGTTGGAGAATCGATTATGGAGATGATGAAGCAAACTCTCATCAAAGGCAAGATATATACTTTTGAGTCAAATATCCTTTTCTTTTGAACCAATGGTCCTACAAACTCCATTATGACCTATAAAAGTCCTCTTGAGGCCCAAACTTGGATAAACTCTTTCAATGGGTGACAATTGAACGTGTCTCTTGAAGTGGTGGAAACTAGCTAATGACCATTATAACTAAGTATAACCTGATTCCTAGGAAATCAAAAGAAAATTGTTGAGCCAAAGCAATATATGTAGGTAGCTTGAGGAAGTGGTTTAGGTGCGGTCAACATATTTGGGTTTTGAGCCTTGTATCCTTCATTGATGAACCCAACTAAAGCCACATTTCATCCTATGTACTAAGACCTCTTAGAGGTGTGCATACTAGGGCATGGAGACATTTTCAAACCAAGGGCAAGGGTGTCCAATTACTTTTTTTCAGTCTTGCAGATTTAATATTAATTTGAGCAAGAAAAAGGAGAAAAAAAAAGAAGAAAAAAGGGAGAGTAAAAGAAAAGAGAGAACAAGGAAAAAAAAGAGGGACTCAGAAAAAAGAGAAAAATAGTAGAGTTTGTCTTGACCTACTCTACAAATGCATAGTAAGGGTAAGTCAAGAATGTCATTGGCTATTTCTTATTTTCTTTGAGGAAGAATGAATCCTACTACCTCTCTTGGACCTGGTTTAGGCAGTTATTGAAAGAAGTCTCCTTTCTTTTATGATCCAAGGCCACTCCTGTGAAGAATGATTGGTAAAATTGGAAAATAATGGTATTTTTGAGCTTCATTATTTCACATTAGATGCCTACCTATCCTTTCAGTTTTTAAAAGTAAAATATATTTTCTCTAGGCTTCCTTGCTTTTAAAAATAAACATTTTATATCTTCAAAAAATTTGAAAAGGGGCTTTCTTTTAGTGACAGGCCTTAAGTAATCTCCCTAAAGGCCAACCTTTTGAGTAATGCATAAGTTAGTCAAACCCTTGAGTTGTGCATTTGAGTCAATTCTCTTTCATATGTCATTTGGAGTTAATCCCCCAAATTTATCATCCTTTTGTTATCTTGAATCATTTAGATTAACCCCCTTAAGTCATTAGCCAACCCTTTACTCAACTTATCATAAGACCTTTGTAAGAACCCTTACTTTTTGAGCAAATAATCGTGTGTGAAGACGTTGTCCATGTTTGGTCCTTTGCTTGGGCCACTTTTCATGTAATTAAGAATGTTTGAGGTAGCCTTCTATTATGAAACAAGTAATGGATAAAACTGAGTTAGAAACAAGTAATGGTGTATACCTCCTATTCAATAAGTTACAAAAACCCTATTTTTGTTTTTTTTCCAATTTTTGCTTTTTCCAAGAACAATATTGTTTTATTATTAATGAAAACATTCATCATTTAGTTTGGTGCTGCCTAAATTTAGTTCTAGTTTGTTGTGTAATTGCTGATTTCAAGTTCAGATGTTGTTGTTGGTTGTGAACCCATTAATTGATATGGGTGCACTCATTTTCAATATGAATTTAGCATTTTCTCTCAGTCCATAAAGCCCAGACAACAACAATGGGTATAATTTGTTCTACTATAATTCATCTTAAATGAACACCCTTTGAATTTTCACTAGCTACTATCAGTTTACAACTGTGATTTTTTGGAGTAGGCAAGTATGTCATCCTACTCATGTCATGTAAATTCCTTCCAAAGCCGATACATGTCCATCCCTCTAGGCTCATTTAGAGCTCTGCAACCAATGCTTCTTTTTTTTTTTTTTTTTTTGTCCCAGCAATTTGGAACAGCACTTGGAATACTTTCCAGTGCCAGATCCAGAGTTATAACATCAAGGGATTGTCTAGATACAATAACATCTATGCTTGGACAATAGATTCATTTTCATTCATATAAAAACAATAGAGATGAATTTGTTTCCCGATAACCAATAGGAATTCAGGTACAATATCATAGAGAAACTGAGCAAACCTATTTCTCTTAAACCTGTTATCATTGTTTGGATTGAAGCACAAACATGATATGGGACAGGTATCCTGTTTAATGTGTTATACAATGTTTTTTTTTTTTATCTAGTTTTTGAAGCTAAGCTCAATTTTCAATTAGTACACCTTTCTAAGTCATATTTGTATAGTATAATGAGAATAGGAGAGCACAATAGAAAATGAGCATGATGCCCAAATCCTAATATGATGTCATGCTACTTCATTTATTTTGACACTCAAAATTTCCTCCAAGTAAATGTACTAAAACCCAACCACCATCAAGTAAACTTGCTTCAGATCATCTAAACCACATAGCAGTTTTCATTTCTCAATTTGATTGGTTTTGGATTCCTCTCTTTGTTTTTTGGATTCTCAATGAAGAATTCAAGTTTCAAGAGGCTCATGATTTCATTTTGAAACCATGATTAGCATTTAGATGCCCCATTAATCCAAGCCAAATACTAAACTGGACTATGACAGCCTTTCCATCGTGTTAAAATGCAATGTTTTTTTTTATTTTTTCTATGGTTATTTTAGTATTTTCCCTCTCTTTTTTTAACTCTGTTTTATCTCTCTTAAATCATAGTATTAGGGATAATATTGTAATTTTCTTTTTCATTATGAATTTAAACATATGGGGGCGACAATTTAGTCTCATTCGACAGAGACTGTTTTTCCCTATTCTTTTTGTATTCTTCTTCTTTTCTTCTTCCTCTTTGTTATCTCTCTTCCAGGGACTGTTGCAAGTGTTTTTCTTGGTTTATTGGATTAAATACAGGTCTAATAACATGGTATTAGAGCCTGATTGATCGACCAACTTGCCTGCATCAATGAAGGATGCCTAAGATTGCATTGACTAAAGTTTTC